TGAGCCCTAGACAAGCAGGATCTGGAGTGGACCTCCAGCAGTCCTACAGCAGAGCAGCCTGACTGTTAGAAGGAAAACTAACAGACAGAAAGAAATAAATTCATCATCAACAAATAGGACGTCCATCAGAGACCCCATCTGAAAGTCAACCACAAAGACCACAGGTAAATAAATCCACAATGATGGTAAGAAACCAGTGCAATAAGGATAAAAACAGCTAAAACCACAACGCCTCTCCTCCTCCAAGGGATCACAACTCTTCACCAGCAAGGGATCAAGGCTGGATGGAGAATGAGTCTGATGAACTGACAGAAGCAGGCTTCAGAAGGTGGGTAATAAGAAACTTCTCTGAGCTAAAAGAACATGTTCTAACCCAATGCAAAGAAACTAAGAACCTTGAAAAAAGGTTTGATGAAATGGTAATGAGATAAACAGCTTAGAGAGGAACATAAATGAATTGATGGAGCTGAAAAACACAGCATGAGAACTTTGTGAAGCTTGTACAAGTCTCAACAGCCAAATTGACCAAGCAGAAGAAAGAATATCAGAGGTTGAAGATCAACTCAATGAAATAAAAAAAGAAGGCAATATTAGAGAAAAAAGAGTAAAAAGAAATGAACAAAGCCTCCAAGAAATACGGGATTATGTGAAAAGACCTAATCTATGTTTGTTAGTTGTACCTGAATGTGATGGATAGAATGAATCCAAGTTAGAAAACATGCTCCAGGATATTATCCAGGAAAACTTCCCCAACCTAGCAAGGCAGGCTGCAATATTCAAGTCCAGGAAATACAGAGAACACCACAAAGATATTCCTCAAGAAGAGCAACCCCAAGGCACATAATTGCCAGATGCACCAGGGTTGAAATGAAGGAGAAAATGCTAAGGGCAGCCAGAGAGAAAGGTTGGGTCACCCACAAAGGGAAGCCCATCAGACTAACAGCGGATCTCTCAGCAGAAACTCTACAAGCCAGAAGAGAGTGGGGGCTGATAGTCAACATCCTTAAAGAAAAGAACTTTTAACCTAGGATTTCATATCCAGCCAAACTAAGTTTCATAAGTGAAGGAGAAATAAAACCCTTTACAAACAAGCAATTACCCAGAGATTTCATCACCACCAGGCCAGCTTTACAAGAGCTCCTGAAAGAAGCGCAAAGCACAGAAAGGAACAGCCAGTACCAGCCACTCCAAAAATGTCCTAAATGGTAAAGAGCAGGCGTCCCCAAACTTTTTACACAGGGGGCCAGTTCACTGTCCCTCAGACTGTTGGAGGGCCGCCACATACTGTGCTCCTCTCACTGACCACCAATGAAAGAGGTGCTCCTTCCTGAAGTGCGGCGGGGGGCCGGATAAATGACCTCAGGGGGCCACATGCGGCCTGCGGGCCGTAGTTTGGGGACGCCTGGTAAAGAGTATCGACACAATGACGAAACTGTATCAACTAACAGGCAAAACAACCAGCTAGCATCGAAATGGCAGGATCAAATTCACACATAACAATATTAATGCTAAATTTAAATGGGCTAACTGCCCCAATCAAAAGACACAGACTGGCAAATTGGATAAAAAGCCAAAACCCGTTGGTGGGCTATATCCAGGAAACCCATCTCACAATGCAAGGATACACATAGGCTCAAAATGAAGGGATGAAGGAAGATTTACCAAGCAAATAGAGAGCAAAGAAAAAAAGAAAGAAAGAAAAAAGCATATGTTGCAGTTCTAGTCTCTGATAAAATAGACTTTAAACCAACAAAAATCAAGAGACAAAGAAGGACATTACATAATGGTAAAAGGAATGATCCTGAATATATACACACCCAATACAGGAGCACGCAGATACATAAAGCAAGTTCTTAATGACTTACAAAGAGACTTAGAGTCCAACACAATAATATTGGTAGACTTTAACACTCCACTGTCAATACTAGACAGATCAGCGAGACAGAAAATTAACAAGGATATCCAGGACTTGAACTCGGACCTGGACAAGCAAACCTAATAGACATTTACAGAACTCTCCACCCCAAATCCACAGAATATACATTCTTCTCAGCACCACATCAGACTTACTCTAAAATTGACCACATAATTGGAAGTAAATCACTCTTCAGCAAATGTAGGAGAATGGAAATCATAACAAACAGTCTCTCAGACCACAGTGCAATCAAGTTAGAACTCAAATTCAGAAACTAACTTAGAACCACACAGCTTCATGGAAACTGAACAACTGGCTCTTGAATATTGACTGGATAAACAATGAAATGAAGACAGAAATAAAGATGTTCTTCAAAACCAACAAGAACAAAGACACAACATACCAGAATCTCTGGGACACATTTAGAGCAGTGTCTAGAGGAAAATTTATAGCAATAAATGCCCACATGAGAAGTAAGGAAAGATCTAAAATCGACACCCTATAGTCCAAATTGAAAGAGCTAGAGGAGCAAGATCAAAAAAACTCAAAACCTAGCAGAAGACAAGAAATAACTATGATCAGAGCAGAACTGAAGGAGATAGAGACACAAAAACCCTTAAAAAAAAAATCAATAAATCCAGGAGCTGGGTTTTTGAAAAGATCAACAAAGTAGACCACTAGCCAGATTAATAAAAAAGAAAAGAGAATAATCAAATAGATGCAATAAAAAATGATAAAGGGGATATCACCACAGATTCCACAGAAATACAAACCACCGTCAGAGATTACTACAAACAATTCTATGCACATGAATCAGTAAACCTGGAAGAAATGGATAAATTCCTGGACATTCGCATCCTCTCAAGCCTAAAATTTTTGCAATCTATCCATCTGACAAAGGGCTAGTATCCGGAATCTACAAAGAACTAAAACAGATTTACAAGAAAAAAACAAGTCCATTCAAATGTGGGTGAAGGATATGAACAGACACTTTACAAAAGAAGACATATATGAGACCAACAAACATATGAAAAAATGCTCATCATCACTGGTCATTAGAGAAATGCAAATCAAAACTACATTGAGATACCATCTCATTCCTATTAGAATGGTGATCATTAAAAAATCTGAGACAACAGATGCTGGAGAGAATGTGGAGTAAAAGGAACACTTTTACATTGTTGGTGGGAGTGTAAATTACTTCAACCATTGTGGAAGACTGTGGTGATTCCTTAAGGACCTAGAAATAGAAATTCCATTTGACCCAGCAATCTCATTACCGAGTATATATCAAAAGGATTATAAATCGTTCTGTTGAAGGACACATGCACACGAATGTTCATTGCAGCACTGTTTACAATAGCAAAAGCTTGGAACCAACCTAAATGCGGATCGATGATAGACTGGACAGGGAAAATGTGGCAGATATACACCATGGAATACTATGCAGCCGTAAAAAATGATGAGTTTGTGTCCTTTGTAGGGACATGGATGAACCTGGAAACTATCATTCTCAACAAACTGACACAAGAACAGAAAATCAAACACCGCATGTTCTCAGTCACAGGTGGTTATTGAACAATGAGAACACATGGACACAGTGAAGGAAGCATCACATACTGGGTTTTGTAGCAGGGAGCTAGGGGAGGGACAGCAGGGGATGGGGAGTTGGGAGGGATACCATGGGGAGAAATGTTCGATATAGGTGATGGGGATGGAAGCAGTAAGCCACATTGCCATGTATGTACCTATGCAACAATCTTGCATGTTCTTCACATGTACCCCAAAACCTAAAATGCAATAAAAATATATAAAAAATGGTCATTAGAGAAATGCAAATCAAAACTACATTGAGATACCATCTCACAGCAGTAGAGTGGCAATCATTAAAAAATCTGGAGACAACAGATGATGGAGAGGATGTGGAAAAATAAGAACACTTTTACACTGTTGGTGGGAGTGTAAATTAGTTCAACCATTGTGGAAGACAGTGTGGTGATTCCTCAAGGACCTAGAAATAGAAATTCCATTTGACCCAGCAGTCCCATTACTGAGACAGTCTTGTATGTTCTTCACATGTACCCTAAAACCTAAAATGCAATTAAAAAAATCTATATCTATATCTATATCTATATCTATATCTATATCTATATCTATCTATATAAGAATTGACAGAGTTACAGAAGGAAAAAAAAAGAAAAAACTGTTGTTTCAATTTTTTTTTTTTTTTTTTTTTTTAGATCTTTACGTTCCTTTATTGGAGCAAGATTCCTGATCGGTATACAGTGATGTATTTACTAAACAGAGACCTGTGCAGAAATTACATACTATCCATCTAGATAGGTTGTTACACTTTTGCCTATTGATGGAATAGTTCCATTTATCAAGTTTTATACATCTAAAAGCTTTTGAATTTCACCAGACTGTCCATTAATTCACCTCTGAAAAAGTGGCATTTAATTTCAGCTACTATATTTTACAGCATTAAAAAGCTTATGCATTAGGGTGCTTCTCTGCACAATGGCATTGAGCAGACAGAGTTGGGTTCATTATCCCACCCAGATTCACATAGTCACATTTAAGAGCTTTATACCAGAGAGCAGGGACAGTTACTGCCAACCATCACAGACTCCTTACTCCGAGAGCCTATCTCCTTGGCCACATTTTATATAACCAATAAAGACATGCCAGCAACTGTCCCATGTATAACTTGGCATTAGAGCACCAGGTCTGTTGGATGGTGGTGGCAGGCACTATTATTTTATATCCAGGTAAACGGCCAATTTTAAAAACTGCCACTTGGAGATAAAAATCAAGGGCACAATATACTCAGAAAGTATTGAGCTATCTGGTATCCCAAATGATGTGAATACTTTCAGAAACCAATGGCACATTGTACCCACATTTCCCAGCTATGGAGATATCAATACGATGATTCAGATCCCATTAATCAATCCACATAGCCCTGAGGTCATCCTGCAAAGTGCGTATCAAAAAATACGAAGTTAGGGTGACAAAATTTGACAGTGATGTTATACAAATCAAACTTGGAAGGTCATACCTATGCTGAGAGAAAAGCATCAAATCCTTTGTGTACACATTTAGTTTTATTGTAACAAAGCAACTTGTACACTTTTAACGTTTAAAACTGAGCATCATCTTTCCTTTCCAGTGAAACAAAAAGAAAATTTAAAAATAAACAGGAACAAAATTACAATAGAGAATGTCAATTCCAAATAAGATCCTACGGGTTCTGCTGATTCTCCCATTGAGTGGCAGGGCTCAAGTCATCATTAGGAGAGAATTTATTTTAAAAGTGTCATCTTAAACTGCAAGGATGTCTGTCAAATGTCACAATTAAACATGCCAAAGGAGAAGCCATGTTGTCAAAATGCGCACTTACCCCACCCAAACATCTCAAACCCACCCTTTGCTGACCTTCTATAACCCCATTTTTTTAAGTTTTTTTTTTTTTTCTTTTTTTAAACAAGAGAAAGTAGACAGATACATGTTGGTAAATGCTAACTGTCCATATTCACATAGAGACACAGTGTACTCTCTGAGCCCAATATACAGAGAAAGGAGGAAAAAAGCTAGAATTCTATGCACTACTACACAGGGGCCCAGCACCCTCCAGCTTCCAGCAGAGCGAAGGGAGCAGGTTTTTCTTTTTTCCCACAGAGCTCGGTGGTGTTGATTCCATACAGTTTTTGTTAAGACAGGAAGGGATAAAATGAATTTCAAACAGAAAGGGGTAGAGACTCTTTTCCCATTGTATCCTCCTCAAGATATTTCCCCCAAAATAAGTTGAGAACCATGGTGTAGAGAAAAAAGACCTCAAAAACAGGGTGACTGAGCACAAGAGGGAAGAAAAAAAAAAAAAAAAAAGACTGCAACTTGCTCCCAGGGACTGGAGAAAATTTAAAAAAAGGAAGGTTGGAATCCATCAGTGTTCTATTAGTCATCTTCTCCTTCATCCTCCTCTCCTTCCTCCCCTTCATCATCATCTTCATCTTCTTCACCTTCATCCTCATCCCCTTCTTCATCAATATCTTCTAATCCTTCCTCCTCTTCATCATCATCATCATCTTCTCCTTCTCCTTCTTCATCATCCATATCAGGAACCAAGTAGTATTGTAATGGGTTTGGCCAAATATCATCTTTGATGACCTCTCCTAATTCATCAGCACCTGCATCAGAATGGTCAGTAAACCAGGTAAAGAAGCTCTCTGGTTCCTCATGCTGCCTGTTCCTGCTGGCTTTATTCTGCGTTTGACTTGAACGTTTCGTCAAATCCTTTCCAGATTTCCATTTGATTTTGGTAGACTTTGAAGATGGATCACCACTCTCATTCAGATGAAATTCTTTGGAGAGAACTTTATTTTCAAAGTAAGGATTTTCATCAAAATAAAAATCTATTCTGTAACCTGATTTAATATCTTCAAATTCTGTCACTTCAACTCTGGTCAAATAATGCAGTGCCTCTTCGTCCTCCTCCCCACGCAGTGCAGACACTTGTGGATGGTTGACAAATGTTGTTACCCAAAAATTTGGGATTTTGGCGATCAATTCTGACCTCTTCTGAAAAAACGGTTGGCGGAGTTTGTTATATTTCTGTTCTACTTTCAAAATCTCCTCACTGGCTTGTTCATTAAGTCTGTCTATTTCATTTTGTACTTCATCAATGTGTTCAATTGCTTCTTGCTGTTCTTTTTCTCCCTTCTTCGGCAAGCCTGCAGAGGCCGATGTCTCCTCCAGTCCCTGAGCAGGAGGTGGTCTTGGTTTCTTCTTTTGAGGCGGGAGTGGAGATTGGCATTTGGGGGCCATGCTGCTGGGGAAGTCCGAGAACCGGAGCACAAGTCTTATAGCTCGTCCGGAAGCAGGCAGAACCTGTTTCAATTTTTAATGCTATTTACACTATGCGAGTGAACATTCCTGATGGTTGCTGTCAGTGCTGATACATTGTTTATTTGCATGATAGTTCTTCTATAGATATGTGTTACTCTTTCTGATGTGGTATTCACTAGTTTTTAATAAATAGGCTATATTGTGTTTGGTTTTTTTTCATTGAGAGAATGATGGAGTTAAAAATAATCAGAATAATAATTTTAAAAGAACATGCTGACATTTAGATCTAAAGACTTTCTCCTCTAGGCTATAAAGTCTTAAAAGTAGGTCGTACTTTGGGTTTAAATTCTGAACAGATACTTGCTCTCTGTATTAGCCTACCTTTTGATCTAAAAGCAGCATTTATTCTTCAGTAAATTTAAAATTACCTTTCTAAATTTAGCAATTCTATATAAAATGAAAAATCACCAGTCATTTAAAGGAGAAAATTAAGGAAATAAGTTTGGTACTTTTCTGTTCTGTTAAAGAACTGGAACTTTTCTTCTCTCAGTGATCTAAGCTAGCTAGAAGTATGAGGCAGTTAAAAAGAATACAGAAGTTCATGTTCACTTGAATAAAATTGACGTCTGGGTAGCGTCCTTAAATTCTCTATAGGTTAGCCAGACGATGGTAGAAAAAGAGAATGTTTGTAGGCTACAGCCTGCCTCACTGAGTTAGCATAATCGTCAATTCACTTGCTTCCCAATACTCCATTCATTACAAGAACTGCTGTGGGTCTTTGGAACTATTTTTCCTCAGCTCTGTGGTCACTACAAACCAATAAAGAACATGACCTTTAGCCTTTTCTCTTTCATTTCCCTTATTCACAGCATGCTTTTTTTTTCCTTTTCCCCTCAGACACGGTTTCACTCTGTCGCCTAGGCTGGAGTGCAGTTGAGCGATCTTGGCTTATGGCAACTGCAACCTACCCTTTCCGGGTTCAAGCCATTCTCATGCTTCAGCCTCCTGAGTAGCTATTACAGGTGTGTGCCACCATGCCTGGCTAATTTTTATATCTTTAGTAGAGACAGGGTTCTGACATGTTGGCAAGGCTGGTCTCAAACTCCTTGCCTTGAGCAATCTGGCCACCTCAGCCTCCCCAAGTACCAGGATTACAGGCATGAGCCACCATGCCCAGACACATGCTTTCTTCCCCGAACTCCCTTTTTTTTTTTTTTTTTTTTTTTTTTTTTTGATACAGAGTCTCCCTCTGTCACCCACGCGGGAGTACAATGGCATGATCTCGTCTCACTGCAACCCCTGCCTTCCAGGTTCAAGTGATTCTCATGCCTCAGCCTCCTGAATATCTGGGATTACAAATATGTGCTACTGCGCCCTACTAACTTCCGTATTTTTAGTAGAGATACGGTTTCTCCATGTTGGCCAGAATGTCTTGAACTCCTGACCTCAGGTGATCCACCCACCTCAGCCTCCCAAAGTGCTGGGTTTACAAGCATGAGCCACCATACCTGGCCTCACTTACTTTCTTATACTTTGATTTTCTCTTCCAGCCTCTCCTGGCCGAATACTGCATAGTTCCTCTAAGTGTAAACATTAGGCTCATTTCTCTGCTATAGGTACAGATGACTGAAACACTTATTTTTATATACTAATTATTTTTCTGTAGGAGCAGAACCTATTTTATAGACGAGCTATTTTAGAAAAGTCTATTCTCTGGACACAGAGAGTTGATAGGGTTGGGGTTGTAATTAAATGTTACTTTAAAAGTGTTAGAAGTAGTAACTTTAAAAAAATAATACAAGATTTGATTCACATATACCTGTAAAAGTTTTGAAAGGATGATTGCTATAAGTGTGAGGGTATCCCTATAGTAGTATAAACTTTTTATGCTTGTGCAAGTTTAAGAAGTATTTATTTTGAGATCAACTAGCTGGTGATGATTCATTTCATATTTTAGCCTTCTTAGCCTCTGATACCATCCCTCACCCTCACCCATAACACCCTGTCTGCTTTTCTGCTCCTTTCTATATTAACTCTATTTTTTCTTTCCAAATGCTTTAGTAAGTTTGTTCTTTCTTTCCTTTCTTGTTCCGTCTCTTCATCTTCTTGTTGCCAGAAAATACTAATTAATTAAATTCTTTAACTTTAGAAAATAAGAATATTTATATTTGACATTACAATGTTTTAAAATGTTTTTAATTTTTGTGGGTACATAATAGGTGTATATATTTATGGACTACATGAGATACTTTGATACAGGCAGAGAGTGCATAATCATCACATCAGGGTAAATGGGATATCCATCTCCTCAAACATTTATTCTTTCTTTGTGTTACAAACAGAACAGCTTGGTGAAAGCTCCACGAACTGTTCTGCATAGTGATTGTGCTGATTTACATTCCCACCAATAGTATATGAGTGTTTGCTTTTCTTCACATCCTCACCAGCATTTATTTCCTGTCTTTTGGATAAAAGCCATTTTAATTGGAGTGAGATAATATCTCATTGTAGTTTTACATTTCTCTGATGATCAGTGATGTTGAACACCTTTTCATATATTTGTTTCTCATTTGTATGTCTTCTTTTGAGAAATATCTATTCAAGTATTTTTCCCATTTTTAAATTAGACTACCAGTTTTTTTTCCCATACAGTTGTTGCACTACTTACATATTCTGGTTATTAAGCTCTTGTTAGATGGGTAGTTTGCAAATATTTTCTCCCATTCTGTGGGTTGTCTCTTCACTTTGTTCATTGTTTTCTTTGCTGTGCAGAAGGTTTTTACCTTCATGTGATACCATTTGTCTATTTTTGCTTTGGTTGCCTATGCTTGTGGGGTATTGCTCAAGAAATCTTTGCCCGGACTAATGTCCCGGAGAGTTTCCCGAAAGTTTTCTTTCAGTAGTTTTATACTTTGAGATCCTAGACTTAAGTCTTTAATCAATTTTTATTTTATTCTTGTATATGCAGTGATAGAGTCTAGTTGCATTTTTCTGCATATGGATTTTTTTTTTCAGCACTGTTTATTGAAGAGGCTTTCCTTTCTTAAATCTGTATTCTTAGCACCTTTATCAGAAATGAGTTCACTGTAGGTATGTGGATTTATTTTGGTGTTCTCTATTCTGTTTGATTAGTCGGTGTGTCTGTTTTTATGCCAGTACCATGCTATTTTGTTTTCTATAGCTCTGTAGTGTAATCTGAAGTCAGATAATGTGATTTCTCCAGTTTCTTCTTTTTGCTTAGGATAGCTTTGGTTATTCTGAGTTTTTCATGGCTAGTATAAATTTTAGTATATATATATATTTTCTATTTCTGTGAAGAATGTCATGTCAGTGGTATTTGATAGAGATTGCATTAAATCTGTATATTGCTTTGAATAGTATGGGCATTTTAACAATATTGAGTCTTCCAATTCACGAACATAGAATATCTTTCCATTTATTGTTGTCTTTATCAATTTCTTAGTTTTCATTAGAGAAATCTTTTACTTCTTTGGTTAATTCCTAGGTATTTAGTTTTTATTTGTAGTTCTTATAAATGGAATTACTTTGTAGATTTCTTTTTCATATTGTTTGATGGTAGCATATAGTAATGCTACTGACTTTTGTATGATTTGTATCTTGCAAGTTTATTGAATTTATCAGTTCTAACAAGTTTTTGATGGAGTCTTTAGGTTTTTCCAAATATGCGATTATATCATCTGCAAACAAAGATAATTTGACTTCTTCCTTTCCAATTTGGAAGGTTTTTATTTTATTTTGTTTTTCACTTGTCTGATTGTTTTAGTTATATCATATTGAGTAACAGTGGTGAAAATGAACATCCTTGTTGTGTACCAGATCTTAGAGGAAAGGCTTTCGGTTTTCCCCACAATCAGTACGATACTAGCTATGGGTCTGTCCATATGGCTTTTATTATGTTGAGGTATATTCCTTTTATACCCAGTGTTTGGAGGGTTTATATCATGAAGGGATGTTGAATTTTATCAAAGGCTTTTTCAGCATCCATTGAAATGATCATGCGTTTTTTGTCCTTCTTTCTGTTCATATGATGTATCACATTGATTTGCATATGTTAAAGTATCCTTGCATCTCTGGGATAAATCCCACTTGGTCTTGATGAATGATCTTTTTAGTGTGTTGTTGAATTCATTTGCTGGTATTTTCTGGAGGATTTTTGCATAAGTATTCATCAGTGATACTGGCCCATCATTTTCTTCTTTGATGTTTCTTCATCTGGTTTTGGTATCAAGGAAAAAGTAACCTCATACCAAGGCTACTACTGGCCTTGTAGAATGAATTTGGAAGTATTCTTTTCTCTATTATTTGGAATTGTTTGAATAGGATTAGTGGCTTTTTTTTTTTTTTTTTTTTGAGGCAGAGTCTTGTTGCCCAGGCTGAAGTGCAGTGACACAACCTCAGCTCATTGCAACCTCTGCCTCCCAGGTTCAAGCAATTCTCCTGCCTCAGCCTCCTGAGTAGCTGGGATTACAGGCGTGAGCCAGCACACCTGGCTAACTTTTGTATTTTTAGTACAGATGGGGTTTCACCACGTTTGTTAGGCTGGTCTTGAACTCCTGACCTTGTGATCCTCCCACCTCGGACTCCCAAAGTGCTGAGATCACAAGTGTGAACCACTGCACCTGGCCAGTAGCTCTTTAAATGTTTGGTAGAATTCAGCAATTAAGCCAGCAGGTCCCAGACTTTTCTTTGCCGGAAACTTTATTATGGCTTCATCCTATTATTTGGTATTTTTCTGTTCTGATTTGGGATTTCTTCCTGGTCCAGTCTTGGTAAGGGTTATATATTTAGGAATTTATCAATTTCTTCTAGATTTTCCAATTTATTGTCATATAATTGCTCATAATCGCCGCTAATATTCCTTTGAATTTCTTTGGTATTGGTTGTAATGTCTCCTTTTTGATTTCTAATTTTATTAATTTAGGTCATCTCTCCTTTTACTTGAATTAGTCTGGCTAAAGGTTGGTTAATTTTATCTTTTTAAAAATCAACTTTTCATTTCATCGATCTTGCAGTTTTCTTCA